GGGGCCGGGACGGGGGCACCGGGCCGCCTCCGCGTTTACCCGGCGAGGGGAGGTGCTTTCAACAGGCTGGGAGTTCCGCCCGTCGGCCCCCGGGAAGGAGGCGGCGGGGCGCGCCAGCAGCGCCCCAGGGGGGCGGCGCGGCGAGGGGGCAGTTGACCAAGTGGGGGAGGGGCGGGGGTGCTTACCCGCCCCCCGGGGGCGGGGCCGAGGGCGGTGTTTGCTCCGGGCGCGCTTACTCGTTCCGCTCCCGTGCGGGCCGGGCCCGGCGGTCTCTCCCCGGCTCCAGCCGCCGCCGCCGCCGCCCTCCCCGCGGCCGCCGCTACTTCCTGCTTCTCTCCGGTCCAGCCACCCCCTCCCTCAGCTCCCTCCGCGTTCCCGGTCTGGGCTGCCCGCTTTCGCACTCGCCATTGGCCCGCGCGCTCGTCGCTCAGGACTGCGCCCCTCCCCACCCCGCACTGGGTTGGCCTTAAATACTGCCGCTCGGAACCAGCCATCGGGGCAGCTCCAAAGCGATTGGCCTCCGCCCCTGTCGCTTAGAAAGCAGCCAATCTAACAGCCTGTTTTCCTGCTGGGGGCGGTGACCAGCGCAGTGCGTCTCCGCCCCCTCACTCCCCATTGGCCGGAGCCCTGGAAGCCCGCAGTTCACTTATGCAAATTTAAAGAACTCTAGTTTTTATTTGGTGGGCTGTGAGGAGAACCTCGGCGACTGAGGGAAGCCCGGGCGTGTACGCGAGTTCGCGCAGTTCCTTCAAAGTGCAGCCCACCGCCGGCCGTGCCGTACCGAAGCCACAGAATGGGAAGTCACCCAAACATTACGTCATCTGGCTGCCCCTCTCCTCGCGGCTTCCCCGCTGTCGAGGGCGTCTCAGTCGGGCCGGACGGGCCCCTGGCGCGGGGCTCCGGGGCCACGGAGTTACCCAGAGCCCCCCGCGGGAGCGCTTGGAGCCCGGGCGGAGTTTGGAACGTGGAGCCGCCGGCAGCTCCAGCCCGGGACGGCCCTGCGGACCGGAAGTGGGGGCGAGGTGACGTTCGCAGTGCCGGCGTGGCCTGCGCCCTCTCCGAGGCGTCTTAAAGCGGCGCCGCGCCAGGCCGCCCGACCCGAGCCCGGGGTCCGGGGAGACAGGCCCACGTCCATTTCCCACTTAAGAACCCTGCTTTTCCCCGCCCCCCGCGCGGGGTGGGCGTGGAGTGGAAGCCGAAATTCCCGCGCTTTGTCGCCCCGCCCCCTGGCGCCGGGGGCGGGGCTCTGCGGCGCGCGGCTCCGACGGGGCTTCCGGCGGC